GAGTGAAACTCCGGTGAAACGAAAGAGAGGTCGACCTAGAAAATACGGACAAGATGGTTCTGTTTCTTTAGCATTGTCTTCTTCCTCCTCTGTTTCCAACATTACTACTCCGAACAATTCTAACAAACGTGGTCGTGGTAGACCTCCAGGTTCCGGCAGGAAACACAAGTTAGCTTCCATTGGTAAACAAACTAACTATCTCTTAAGTGTTTAGTGAATCTTGAGAATGTTTTTGGAGGTTACTTAATGCTTTTCTAGAATCAAAATATATTTGTTTATTCCTGAAATGTGTGGGAAAGCTTAAAACTTTCTTTAAATGGGTCTAATTTGTTACTTAAACAAACTATAATGAATTAGACATTCATTTATTAAATGGAAAGCTTGAATTAGACATGATTATTTAATTTTTATTCCTGAATTGTAGATGGAGCCATTGTCTATGTAATATAATATGCTTGAAAATTAAATGATTTAGCCAATTTTTTCTTGTGTTCTTTGATTTTGTTAGGTGAATTGATGATGCCTTCATCTTCTGGAATGAGCTTTACGCCACACGTTATCCCGGTTTCAGTAGGAGAAGTAATGTTGAATTGAATCACTAATTACAGAGCTTTTTTTGAAAATGTATGTATTTTGCTGAAAATGTTTTTTTTTTTTTTTGTATCAGGACATTGCATCAAAGGTTATAGCTTTCTCACAACAAGGTCCAAGAGCGATATGCGTTTTATCTGCAAGCGGCGCAGTCTCCACCGCAACACTTGTTCAACCATCATTAACCCCAGGAGCTATTACATACGAGGTTACATTTGAAAATTTCAAAGAGAAAACATTGTTTGTTTGTTAGTGTTTTCTTGAAGAAACATGTTTTGTGTATAAATTTTTCCAGGGCCGGTTTGAAATCCTAGCCTTATCAATATCTTATATTGTCGCAACTGATGGAAGCTTTCGTAATCAAACTGGAAAGTTATCGGTTTCGCTTGCTAGTCCCGATGGTCGTGTGATTGGTGGTGCTATTGGAGGGCCTTTAATAGCAGCAAGTCCTGTTCAGGTTGGTTTTCTTGAGCTCTGCTTTGTTTTTACCTAAAAATAAACTGGGATTGAATAAATTGATTGTTGGGACTATCAGGTTATTTTAGGGAGCTTTATATGGGCAGCTCCA